CCAGATGTTTTGGTTTATTACAAAATCTGAGTATTAGTTTTGGTCCTAGAAAATGAATAAGAGATATAGATAATCACTTCAAATTTGCTTTAATGTCTAACAATAGACACTTCTAGAATTATTGATCATGTTTGACGACAATAGAATCATGGTTGCTGATATTGATTATGGTTATGCATGTAGTTAATTTGACTTGTTGTAGCTTACTTTTTTGAGAACGATAGATACGGATGGATTTTAGTGTAGGCGGATCTGCTAATTATTTCACTTACCAATTGAAGCTTACAATAATATTCAGATCTCTGAATAAGCAAAAGCATCTGGATATGGAGTTTGAACGTCTCATTTATTCATCATTAGGACTGCATAAAAGATAACTTTTCATGACAGCTATAGAGATTCTATCGCAGAAACTTGAAGAAATTGAATATATTTTTCAAAACACCATTGTAATTAGTCTCTGCTTCTATGTTTGCCTTAGAGCTGTCTGAAGACGAATCAAGCTTTTGTCCCGTTTCTTATGTTAATGAAAGTTAGGGTGTGGAGATGTGTAAATATTCCATTGCTACACCACACTCACCTCATTTCCGTACCATATCTCATCGTAAACAGTTGTTTCTGACGAAAAACTAGGATACTCATAATCATCATCTAGAAGTGAAAGAACCATATTATTTAACAGAAATAATATTTCGCAATATATCCAAAAAGCATGAGAAAAATGAAAAATTGATAAAAGAAACTAATTGTTGCACTTGTACAAAGTGAAAATGGTCTGACAAGCTTTTCCGATTGTTCTAATTGTAGTAAATAAGTTATACAGTTTAAATCCTGATATGTAAATTTTGTTTTAGGTGATCATGAGCTTTTTGATGAATTGGAAAGAATATTGACCAGTTCACGGTTTAAATTGATAATGATTGATGTCGATATAGGAGAAGCTATCATCCCTAACCTCTACACTCAACAGTGAAATAAAATTATATTACTTTTTATCTTTATAATCGTCTAGATAATATGTATCGTGAAAGACTTTCAAATATTAAATTTATAATAAGAGCATCATGCTAATATAATTCAATCGTTTCTCAACATTTCATTGTACTCATCCTGATTATAGTTCGATAAAGTAATAAAGAACGACAATGATGATATATATTAATCATGTTTACAAATATAAAATCGAAGAGTAAAAATATATTATTATTCTTGTACACAGAATAAATTTCTAAAATAGTTATATTTTTGTTTTCAATCTTCGTTTATAATACTGGATATTTGTAGTTAATAACTTAATGACTATTTTCTGTGTAATCTCCATATATGTAATTGAAATTAATCAATGTTGAATTGTATTTTATTTATCATCAAAGCACCTTTCTAATTCATTGAACTGATAATTATTCTTTCGACATAGCGATTAAACTAGTCATCATTGTTCTCACTTGTTAGGTAAATCATATTGCAAACCTTTTTAATTTATCTGTTATTAATCTAAAATGCTACTTCTATAAAGATTATCTTTACGTAAAACAGTTAAACGAAGAGATTGTTGATATTTTCAATATAAAAATTGAGCATGTATTAAAAGAGTACATCGAATTGGTTCGATTTACAAAAATATAAAATTGATTCTAAATCTTCAATAAAGACGATTTCACCTAAAATATTATTTTGATAGATATAATAATTTCAAAGTATAGATGTCCTGTTATGGTGAATTGCTTGACAATTGAAATATTCATCCAAATGATCTCTTACAAAAAAAACCTCACATTGATAGTAGCGCTAAAGTTTATTGAAAAGTAATTTCAATTCAAATATAAAATTCAGTGATGATTATTTTTTTCTCTTGAATATTTGTATAATTCTGTAGAAATTAATGAAAATATCAGTAGAGGATATTATTTTTCCTATTCAATATGGTTTGAGAAAAAATTATTCTTGGTAGTCAAGTTTCTAAATATTTTTGTCTTGTAGATTATTTAAAATTAGTTAAAATATGTTACTTCGTCGCCTTGTTCATGGAGTTGGTAGATTTTCAACTCGTTCCTCAGTAAATTGTTTAATATATATTTATAATAATAATTAATTGTTAATTTTAACTTAGTTCCGTACTTTGACAAGTACAATTCAAACAAATCCATCGGTAAAATATCAGAAAACTCTTCTTAATGTACCAGAAACTCGAGTAACAGCAATAAAAAATGGTTTACGTGTAGCATCAGAAGATTATGGTCTACCAACATGTACTATTGGAATATGGATTGATGCTGGTAGTCGATTTGAAACAGCAGAAAATAATGGTACTGCTCATTTTCTTGAACATATGGCTTTTAAAGTAAATAATAAGAATATTTTTGTATCTAAATTAGAAAAAGAAATATTGTTCAGGGTACAAATAAACGAACACAACGTGAACTTGAACTTGAAGTTGAAAATCTTGGTGCACATCTTAATGCTTATACATCAAGAGAACAAACTGTTTATTACGCAAAATGTTTTAGCAAAGATTTACCACAAAGTAAATTCTTTTAAGGTTTTTTTTTTTTTAATTTTTCTATTAAATATAAATAAATAGTTGTTGAACTTCTATCGGATATAATGCAAAATAGTCTATTTGGTGAAGATGAAATTGAACGTGAACGTCATACAATTTTACGTGAAATGCAAGAAATTGAAAATAATTTGCAAGAAGTTGTTTTTGATCATTTACATGCAACTGCTTATCAAGGAACACCATTAGGAAGAACAATTCTTGGTCCTAGTGAAAATATAAAGTAAATTTATTAAAAGAAAATTTTTGTTTAATTATTTTTCTTTTTTTTTTTGAGATCAATCAAAAAAGCTGATTTACTTAAATATGTAAAAACACATTATAAAGCATCACGAATGGTTTTAGCTGCTGCTGGTGGAGTTAATCATGAACAATTAATTCGTTTAAGTGAAGAACATTTTGGAAAATTACAATCTGATTCTTCAGGAGACTTAACTAATCTTTTACCATGTCGGTAAGATTATTCAATTAGTTTTTATTTATGTTAAAATCTAAGAACAATTTATTTATTTATTTATTTATTTTGCTCTTAAATTAATTAGTTTTACTGGAAGTGAAATTCGTGTTCGAGATGATGATATGCCATTAGCTCATATTGCTATTGCTGTTGAAAGTACTGGATGGGCTGATGCTGATACTATTCCATTAATGGTTGCATCAACGATTGTTGGAAATTGGGATAGGTTAAATATTATTTTATTATTATTTTATCTGAGAATTTTAACAGTTCTTAAAGTAAAAGTAAAAGTAAAAGTAAACAAATAAATATATAAAAAATTTATCTTTTCATAATGATATTTGAAGTTTGTAAAATGTTTGTTCTCGTAAAAGATTAATGTTGAGCATTTACTATTCTCAGACAAGAAAAATCCATCATTATATGATAAACAATATAAAACATGTTTAAATAATTTAAATATAAAATAATTGAATTAAATAGATCAATGGCTGGTGGTGGACATGTATCAACTCGTCTTGGTCAACAAGCAAATAAATATAATTTATGTCATTCATATCAAGCATTCAATACATGTTATACAGATACCGGTTTATGGGGAACTTATTTAGTTACTGATAAAATGAGAATTGATGATGCTATGAGTGCAATACAAGATGAATGGTATTTTATTTAAGATTTTTTTTTATTATTTTTATTTTATATTTTTTGTTTTAATTTATAAAGGTGTCGTATTGCAACAGCATGTACTGATCTTGAAGTAACAAGAGCTAAAAATTTACTAAAAACTAATATGTTATTAATGCTTGATGGATCTACACCAATTTGTGAAGATATTGGACGGTTTGTTTTCTTCGGCTTTTTAAAAAATAAAATTAATATTTATTTTTATTTTTATTTTTATTTTTATTTTTATTGTTTTACAGTCAATTACTTTCCTATGGTCGACGTATTCCCTTACATGAACTTGATGCACGTATTGATGTAAATATATTTTTATAATTAAAAACAAAAAAATGTTGATTAATTCGAAATAATAATTATATATTTATTTTAGGCTGTTGATGCAAATACAGTTATGGCAGCAATGAAACAATATGTTTATAATCATTGTCCAGCTATTGCTGCTGTTGGTTAGTAGACTTCTTTTTTTTTTTTTTTCTTTTTTATTAATTGAAAACATTTTTTTGTGAATTTAATATTTTGTTTAGGTCCAATTGAACAATTACGTGAATACAATCGAACACGTAGTCGAATGTATACAATATCACATTAATCAGACAATGATATTGATATTTCTTCTTCTGTATTTGTTTGATGAAGAACAGTGAAGGATCCATTTCATTATCAATGTTAACAATAAATCTAGAAAAATGATTTGTTGCTTTTTTGTTAGTTTTTCAAAAACAAAAACAAAAACAAAAACAAAAACAAAATCTTTTTTCTGATAACTAGTCTGTGCTTTTTGTTTTTAGATTTAATATTTGATAGATATTTTAAATATTTAAAAAAATAATTGATGTTAATATGCAATTTTGAATTATGTTTCGAAAGAAAAAGTTTATTTTTGTTAAATTTTTACATATCGAAAGAAAATTTCCGATGAATACAAATATATTTATTAAGATAAAAAAAGAAATATTTATATTTCAATCCGAACGAATTATATTATTAAGATTAATTTGAAATGCAATGTCAATATGAATTTATTTTAACATAACTTTGAGAATAATAATATAATTATTTACTATGAATCATTCGATTTATATTTAAAATTTGTTATCAATTAATTCTATGAATAATATATTTCCATTAAGTAAAAAATATTTCTAAACTGATTCTATTATTATTATTTTATAGATTTTATTGCAAAATCTATACATGAAATCAATTAGATTTTTCGTCATACACTTATCATTTTCATTTTTCATTGTTTTTTTTTTATTGATATGAACTGATTTGTTAATGTGATGATAAATTATAGATATGAAGGATTCAACTGATTTGTCATTAATCAGTCAAAATTCGTTATCATCATTAAGACGTATTTGTACAAATGAACTTTCAATACGTAATCATCCATATATTATTTCAATGTGTATTAAAAATTTTGAACAAATTCAACTAGATATTAAAGTTCGAGCAAAAGAAAGTGCTGATCAATGGAAATCAAGTTTTAATGTAACTGGTGAATACTTCATTGGTTTTTTTTTGTAATATTTAATTTTTCATATTATATTGTAAAAGATATTGAAACAATGACAGAAAAAACAGGCAATTTTAAAACATTTAATGTATTTGTTAATATGATAGAAGATGCCATAAATCAAGTAAAATTAATAAATTTTTTTTTTTAAAAACAAAAAACTTTTTATGAATTTATTTATTAAATATAGAAAAATTCTTCAGTAAGCATTGATTTATTTACTTATGATGATATTGAATTAATAGGTAAAAAGCAAGAAAATAAAAAGAAAACTTCGAAAACAAAACCAACAAATAAACGTTATTTAATATTAATATATAATGGCGAATATGATTGTATTTATTATCCATTATCTCTTCTGTATTGTGGTAAACCAGATACTGTTATATTAATAGGACAAATTCATCAATTAGCAACTGAAAATGAATTATTAAAATCTCGAGTATTTTCTTGTTAAGTTTTTTTAATAAAATTTAATTTGTTTTGTTTTTTTGTCATTCTGGTTTAGGTTGGATCAGATATTAATCATTATGATTTCAAAGAAGAGTAGATATTTTTCTAATTTATCTTATCGAATTAATATTATATTTAATTAGATATTCGCGTTTGAAAAAAGAAAATGATGATTATCGTCAAAAATTATTATTATATGATGGAAAAGAAAAAGATCTACAAGTTGAATATTTACGTCAAATGATTCGTGAAATTGAATTTGCTTTAATTAAAGAACAAACTAATTTACAAAAAACAAAAGCATTAAAAAATGATCATTATAAAAAACTTAATAATCAAGTTTGTTTTATTTTTTTTTTTTATTTAAATAAAAGTAAATATTAAAAATTTTTTTTCTAGATTGAATTATTAAAAACATCTGAAAGACAATTAAAATTAAAAGTGAACAATTTAACAAATGAAATAAATATACTTAAGAAGAAGTAAATAGATAATAAATTCAAGTTTACTATTTCATATTTTCAATCTCAATTTATTTCTGATCGATTTAATTGAAGTAGAATTTTATATTAAATTATTATTATACGTAATCTCAGTTCGAGTACAACACATAATTTTAAGTTAAAATCTAATGAAACGGTTTTTTAAATCATCGACACAATAAAGATATTAGGTTTAAGAAAAAAAGCACATACTCAGTCATTGAATCGTCGTATTTCTACTTTATGTTGTTATTATCGAATATTTATATCAGAGAGAAGATTTATTCTTATCGACATAACATAAAACAAATAAAATAATAATAAGAATAAGAATCTGAACAATATGATAATATCATGTTTGAACTTCGAACTATAAGTATAGATAATTCTAATNTACTCAGTGCTCAGTATCTCGGTGATTTCAGTTATCAGTAAAGTGAAACTGCACATCCCTATCTGGACCTATCGAATGATTCATTTTTTATAGCTATTTGTCGTTATCAATGAACGTATTGTTCTTTTTTTTGAATGAAATAAAATAAATATTTTATATTTTTCATCTAACAACATTTTCACTGATTCGACATTTTTTTTCATTCGATTTTTTTTTCTTTCGATATTTTTTCCTTCAACGTTTTTTCCTTCGACATTTATTTTTTGAGATATTTTTTTCGACGTTTCTTCCTTCGACATTTTTTCTTTCGACATTTTCAATACATACCCTTCCTTTGCTATGCCTGATGACGTCAACTGTGAATTATCTTGCTTTGGAAGTCGATGATATAGCATGATTTGTAATTGTTCCCAAATTGACACAAACCAGCTCCACAAAGTCATTTTGTACTCTTTCTGATTCAATAGATGAACAGTAGCTTGGGAGTTACTTGAAGAATGCCTGGCTCGCATTAGATTTACTGAAGATTTAAGCATCGTGGAATGATGAGCACTATGTGAACTTGTAAGACTGCAATAATTTCTTGTACTTCTAAAATTCCAAGTAAAACATAGAAATTATATTTAGAAAAATTTCTTTGATTAGATTACTCTACAAAGTGCTCAAATTTGATGAGTCTTATTTGACTATAGTGTGGATACAGTCGATGGATTTTATTCGTTCTAGCAGTACTCCGTATGAATCGATTTTTTCATCAATTTGTTGCACTGTATTAACGAAAAACAAAGATCGAAAACGATACGCACAATATTGAATTCCAAATTATTGAAAATAAAACTGCAAGCTATAGAGAGGACTGAAGACCATTAGCAGTGTTATTGAAAACGGAAACGAAATTTACAACACAGCTAACGCTTTTTCTATCAAATACATACTATTCATTAAATGAATTGCTTTTTATTTTTCCGATAGGAGATGGTCTCTATCTAATAAATAAATGTTTTCGTCAGAAACAGAACGATCTATAACGAATAAGTTGCGTAAAAAAAAGATTCCTATTTCTCATTCATTCGTTGTTCTTTAAAAATATGCATGGTTGTCTTGAGAACTACATGTTGATTCACTTGGTCATAATGCCAAATGCATCCAGTAACGATGAAAGTACTACGAATCAGAATTGTCAGCGTTGCTTTGTCTACGTTGAGATGCTCGTCGATATTCAACTTTCAATAAATAAATGTATACTTCAACGACGAATCAAACCTATGACTGAAAACTGACTGTTATGATAAGTTTTCTAATTATTGTGCTATTAAAAGTCGTCAACGTCAATACAACGTGTAGGATACCGTTATATACGCTGAAGAAATTTCTTAATCAACGGTTATGAAAGTTTTTTTCCTGTTCCTTCAAATGATAAACAAACAGAAAAATAAATATATACTCCAATTACCGATCAGATCGATGACTAAGTATTGGTTACTGATGTCAGTACTCTAATTACTTACCCATCAAAGCTTGACGAACACGGAATTTTCTTTGAATAATATTTCATAATTGAAAAATTTTTAAGGTCGATACAATGCAGCTTCGAATATCGATAGAATTCCTTTTATGAAAATGAACATGACTGATTTCATTATAGTATGATCTACGTCCTCGATTTACTCACTAAGCTAACCATTGATCCTAATAACTAAGTAGTGTTCGATATAGAGTTTGATTATGAGCTGACTCATAAATATGTTTATCGAACATGAAAGGAAGTAAAAATAATTGTATATTTTATAAACATAATATACGCTTGCTGCTCTGTTCTATAAATTTGTCATATTGCACGCTTGAAAGAGTAGAAATTAAAATGTGTGTACATATGTTGAAAAGTTTTTGGTTATATGTGAATGCATTAGATGTATCATGGCGATTTTAAAAAATTTCGATAGTAAATATATAACAGAGAAAAGAAACGTATATGCTCGTCTTGTTTCACTGTTAAAAGTACTGACTTTGATAGTCAGCATATCGCCACTAGTTTACATAACAATTGAAGAATATATTTGTTGAACGAAAGTAAGAAGAAGTAAAATCTCAGGATTGTACAGACGTTAGACATAATTTATATTCCTGTATAAAAGAGCATAGTCCATTCCGCACTGAAATATCGTCAGAAGAAATTGTAAAACAATCATTAAACCTGAAATTGAAAAGAAACATTATTTACAGCAGCGTTTGACAAAATTCGAAGGTAATTATTCATTATAGTTCTATTTCTGGAATTCAAGTTCATCTTTGTATTTCTACACAGAAATTTTAAGACGAGATTTAGTGTCTCTGTTTTCCTGACGGACTGATAGAGAGTCGATAGATTTCAATTACATTAAAACGAATGTCTGAGTTGTTTGATATCCGTCCGAAATCTCTTCTTACCTCTGGTTCCTACGATATTTTTGTCTCTCAAAAGCTCAATAAATACCGGCAAAATACTCACAAAATCATCTTCAAGGAATAGTTGAGTTGAGGTTCTATAGAATCTTTATCAGTCAACCATGCAATGGAAATAATCTACTTTTAAGCTAACTCATTGATGATAAACAATGAAGCCATGGATATATGACACTAAATCAAATTATGTTCATAAGTATTTCGTCTATTACTTGTCGTATCTTGTTTTTGTTCTTTTCTATTCGAATCGAATTTATTTAACACACGTAAATTCTTCTGTTTATTGTAGTATATTAAAGTACGATGGATCTTTGTTATTTGAATCCTTTACAATGTCTTAATGGTACATGCGCAGTGAGCAATACAACAAATACGACTTACTGCTCGTGTGAACCTTGTTACGAAGGAAATTTATGTGAAATTCGCACTTATAAGCAAACCAAGTATGATAAAAACTATGCATACTTTATCGTGTATACTGTCGGATTATGTCTCGCCATTTTGAATGATGGACTCTGTCTCGAACTATTCATCAGATGTAAAAGAATTCGTTCTACAAATTGTGGAGTCTATCTAATAATATATTCAATTCTATCGACATTAGGAAGTGCTTTGCTGGTAGTTGATGGCGCCCTAAAATATTATCCAAATGCATTATACCAAACTGACAGCACATATCATCAGTACCATTGTCTGATTTCTACAGTTGGTTACAATATGCTTATGTATCTGTGTCTATGGCTTAGTGCATTTGTTACACTTGAACGTGCTTTAGTCTTATGGTTTGAGAGTAAACTAAGTACTAGCCTATGGCGATCATATATCTCTTCCTCAATTATATTTGCCATAGCCATCGGCTGTGCTATACCTTTAATTGTACACAAATGTAGTTGGGATACAGTACCGTATTTAGATACGGTACGTGCCGTTTTCCAGTGGTATTACATCATTATGGCTATTGCAATATATGTAGTGGCAAGCATAATGTTTTTAATTGTTTTTACCACGCATATACGTAGGTATGGCATGGAGAATGGGTCGCGTGGAAAAACCTTTCTCAAATTACTGCGCACCCATTTATTTATTTTTATACCACCAATTACATATGCGATCTGCTATCTTCCATACACAATTACAATAAACTTAAAGAAAGATGGAATGTCTTTCTATCCATGTGGTATTTCACTTGTAGAATTCATAGCAAAGTTTTTGACAGAAATGCTGATGGGAGTTCCATTTGTTCTTACATGGTTAATCTTCGTTTATCCGTCGAGAGTCTATATGACTGGATTTTATACGAGTACATGGTGTGGACAATGGACAGCGCAGACTGTACTTTTCTTCCGCCGAATCTGTGACAGACAAAGAGAATAGTAGTGTATCAATCAGTAATTAGATAACGATTACTTTTTATTGTGTTCTATGCAGTAACTGTTTTGCTTTATTTGATGTATTATAGGGGTGTGGGTGTGGGTGTGGCCTCGAACTGCCATCACTCACCCACACCCACCCACACCGACATCCCACAACCAGATCCCTAAACTTCTTTAAGTTTCGTTTATCCGTTTTTTTCGATATATGTTTGTGCACGTTTATCGATCGACAAAAATTAACTCAATGACAACAAAAAAAAGATAAATAGTTTAAAAACATATATCAGTTCGAAAAATTTTGCAATCAAATGTCTGATAGTTTGGCTACAAATAGAGGCCAGTAAACCTTGATCACAAGCAACAACCTGAGATTGATAGACCATTATGTAAAGGATTTATGATGAAAACACGACAGAAGCCTGTCAGCGAAGCCCATCTAGGGCTGAAATATGGAACACACATAAATTCTGTAGTCAAATTAAACGACGTAATACAAAATCCGTAGTGAAAAATCTCTCGTATAGGGTGTGAGTGGATGAAGAAGCTGGTTCTTCTGCTAACCTGCATCCACACCCACACCCACAATCCAGTGTAAGTGTGGAGCTGAATGATGATTAGGATAGGAGAAACCCACAACCAAATTGCTGGAATCACTTTTATGGGTTATACAATATTGTCCTCACTTCTCTCATTCTCTCTGAACTATCAACATGGCAACGTATGTTCAATTAGAAGATCTTGACAAACTAACTATATCCTACTGTCATTTATATATCATTGCCATCTATGTCTTGTCATTTTTTTAATTTTTTCTCCTTCTGTCCATTTCTTTGATAACTTTTTCAAACTCTTACTTTTTCTTTTCCTTCTCTCCTGTGTCTAAAGTAAACTAGTGCCAAAGATTCTATCTATATCTTTTAACGGAACCTTGCCACTAATCGCCCAGTGAGCTGCATCATTGTATCTGTTAATCAATGATAAATTGAGCCGACGAGTAGTGCCCAGACTCGATTGAGTCTGGATCTGAAAAGCGTTAGTATGAGTGCATGTGTCGATGAGCCTTCTTCTTTTCCAAACTGACGTTCACAGCTAGACCCACGGTAATTTCACTGAAATTAACACTACAGATACGCAATATTTGGATTTCCGCAAGATTGATTGTAACTTGCATGCCAGAGCTCATCAGGATGTTGGCTCAGAGTAGAATTATTGATCTCGTACTTATCGATGGTGTTGATGCCTTTAATCTCTCCATATAATCTTGATAGTGTCTAAGGAGAGCATCGTGCAAACACCTACGTGTTCGATGTTCTTGCAAACCAGAGATAATAGAAAACGCCTCATGCATAGCCAACTTTGCGTCCGTTATTGCATTTACTTGTATCCGAGTTGTGAACGATCCTTGTTCTGTATTGAATATAGTCACTTAGACTGTTTTCTATACATATCGTAAAACATTATCGTAATTTCATGAATGGGAACAGCTGAGTAAGCTATTTGAAGAAAACATTGGGCAATTCTCTTCATATATGTACAGGTTTTTGAAGAACGAAATTATGGAAATTTTCTGTATTCTAAAAACCCGCATGCCAGTGGAGAGAAACAAATTTGGAAATTTCAGAAACCTCTGAAATTTCCATTTTTATGAATGTGTCCATTTCTGACAAAATCACAGTATCATTAAAATTAGGCTTTGCGAAGGAAAATTTCACAACTCATTTGAAAGCCACCTTAACCACCACCACCGCATCCACCCCCGTCTCCACTACCACCGATAACTCCGCGCAACGGGCTCCAAGTACTGCTCGCGAAACCAATAGGTAACGCGAAAGCTAAAATGTTATCGACAGTAGTTGATGGTTGTGTACGCTTGTTTGTCGAACTCTGACTATACGTTGAATTGTATGTGGAATTCCACAAATGTGTGGTGTCTGAAAAAGCACCTGCTAGAGTCTTTTCATCAATCGAATCATCATGATTGAGCAGCACATAGCCACATAAAGCAGTTGTCGTAAATCGATAATGTGTAGGACTTCGTAAATGTGTATGCCATATTAAATCTATGTCGAAAGTAGGTACGATTAAGTGCTTTCGTTTACCCAACTGTAAAAACAATATGTAATGTCCCACCATTTTTCGAAAAAGTGAGTGATTTATTTGTCGAAAGTCACTTGAATAGAGGGAATGTTTCTTGAATTTTTCAAGAAAAGGAATTTGACGAAGAGAAGCGGCCGCCAAATCGATTGACGGAACGAATGATGGATTCTTAAATTCCATTGATATTGAAGAAGGAATATAAATAGCCTTGGAATCCACTAGCTGATGGTTTGGAAGTTGCTGTATGCAGTCGTTGTAATATTCGATCGGGTGAAGTCGATGTACATGCCAGATTCAGAGAATCTGCCATAGAAAATGATCTTACATAAAAGACGTCAACGAACAGTTTCATTTCGCTTATTCGTAAATAATAATGAGGTAAAATTACAATCAATAACCAGCATCCTAATCGACGTAGATCAATCCAGATTCGAGCATTTACAACGTGTAGTGACTATGGTTTGACATCAATAAATTGTATTGTCATCATACAAGTTTGTTTCAGACTTTAATGATAAGTAGTGTCTCGGAATACTATAGATCATTCAGGACAAAAATTAGAGATGTTTCATGGTGACTTCGTTGCTACTGTCATTTATATTTCGTTTTAGTCATTGAGTGAGTAATCGATTAAACTTTGTACTTCCACGAGTTTTATGTTGAATAAGTACTGGGGTCCATAAACTGTGGAAACAGGAAGAAATAAATTAGTCAATTATTCATTCTTCAACATAACTTTTTTCAATTTATCATGAAGGTAAGCACTACCTCTAAAGTTAAGAAATAGCCGGTTCTTTGGTTCATCCGTAATGAGAAAAGTCTTGTTTGAGAAGATAATTTCAGCATGTCTGCTGTTTTTGTTATGAACATGAATACTGTTGTAGACATAAACATTCGAACCCTAGCTGCATCTCGACATATACCATCTAGATCTCGTATGTTGTCATAGAATTTTTTTCGCTTGCCAGTAAACAACTTAGTCTTAGTCAAAGATTCTGATTCTTTTCCATGGCGATTCTCAACGATCAAATAGCTCATATTTACTGTCAAATATTCAGCAGTTTAGTAGTTCGTCATTTGTTTTAAAAGAATTATTCAAACAAGATTAATCTGGTTGGTATTGTATCGATTTTGAGACTGAGATTTTGCTATTCTATTGTTCGATTGTAATATACAATCTTGTTCCGTTTTACAACATATTCGAACATCTTTTCTGCACAATCTCCAGACTTTGTCGTTGATAGTCGGCAAAGAATTCTTCACAAGCCATTTTTCGACAGTATTCATCAATATGAGAATTCAAAGTTTCTTCATCTTGGATCATATGTAGATTTGTGATCGCCTCGCGAAGCAATTGAATGTGATCAATAAAATCTTCGAAGGAGATTTTAAACGCTTCATCATGTATTGCTTGCGACATTGTTAGTTGATTTCACAGCAACGCTCGAAGAAGCACGGTGCTTTTTCTTACCTTCTCCGTTATATTCAGACAGCAATTGACAACTTCGGTATTCAGTATGTTAATTTATACTGAGCGATCAACAATGCTAATTTATTTCATCTTAATGACGACCAAGTCATACCTCCATTTCCTTTTTTCGCATTTATTTTGTTTGGGATGCATAAGAAGTGTGTAATGCTGAAACTGATAAAGTAAGTGCTTCAAAACATGAGTAACACAATTTTCTTCTACTCATCATGTGTTATGAGACAAATATTTTTCTACACTTTTCTTATTGTTTTATCGCATACAAATGGAATAGAAACACGTGGGTGAAAGTAAACAAGTCAAGACTATCAACAATATTCTCAACATAGGCCAAAATTGTAAGAATATTTGTTGCGTAGATTGGTTCTCTGAAAGAGCATATAATCAAAATGAAGCATGTTAATTACGACGTTATACAATCGTAAATTGTTTCAAAGGTATTGTGCGAAACAAAGTACCTGATAATGGCTGTAAAGTTTCTTCTTGAAGTCGTGCAAAATCTGCTCGTTCTCGTTCTCTATCTTCAACCAACACGAAATAAATCTTCAAGTGTCAGCCATTGCATTTATTCAAAAAAATCAAGATATGAAAATGGATATGCATAAAAGCAAATACTCAGCAATGTCCAAAAGAAAAAGAAAAGACTGACCATCTACGGTTATTTGTTGTTGTTTTATCCATTCAGTCGAGTCCGACTCTTGGCGATCCGATGAATCAGACCTCTCCACATGTTTCTGTTATGTGCCATTGTGTTGAGTTGGGTTAATGTTAAATGTGTGTCTTCTTTTATTGTGCCAATCCATATTTTCTTTTGTCTTCCTCTGCGCCGTTTACCACCGACCATGCCAAGCATTATTTCTTTTTCTAACGAATCTTGTCGTCGCATTATATGTCCAAAGTATGACAATTTTAACTTCACCATTGAGGCTTTCAGTGAGCATTCAGGTTTTATTTCTTGTAAAACAGATTTGTTGGTTCTTTTCTCCGTCCATGGAACACGAAGTAATCTTCTCCAGCACCAAAGTTCGAAGACGTCGATTTTTCTTCGATCTGCTTGTTTTATTGTCCAGCTTTCACATCCATACGTTGTTATCGGAAAAATCATCGTTTTGGTTATTCTAATTTTGGTGGTCAAGCTGACGTCCTTGCTTTTGATGAGTTTGTCTAGGCTAACATTGCCTTTCTGCCCATAAGAAGTCTTCTTTTTATTTCGTTACTGCAGTTACCATCGATGTTTATACTAGAGCCCAAGAAAATGAACTCTTTGACTATTTCCACTTGATCATTGTCGATGTGAAATTCTTGAATGGCTCCATTTGTCATCACGAAGGTCTTTTTCATATTCAGTTTTAGTCTTGCAGCTGTACTTTCCTCTTTTACCTTCCGTAGGAGGTATTGGAGGTCATCAGCTGTTTCGGCCATTATTGTAGTGTCATCTGCGTAACGTAAATTGTTGATATTTCGTCCACCCATCTTTATACCACCTGCTGCTTCCTCTATCCCAGCTTTTCTCATTATATGCTCTGCATATAAATTGAATAAGTATGGAGATAGTATGCAGCCTTGTCGCACGCCTTTTCCGATGTTGAACCAGTTTGTATTTCCATAATCCGTTTTCACCGATGCTTGTTGATTGGTGTATAAGTTCTTCATAAGGATAATCAAATGCTTTGGCACACCCATTTCCAGTAGTACCGACCAGAGTTTCTCATGATCTACACAGTCGAAAGCTTTACTATAGTCGATGAAACATAAGTAAAACTCTTTTTGGTATTCACGAGCTTTTTCCATCAACCACTGTAGATTTGCTATTTGGTCGCGTGTTCCCCTTCGTTTTCTAAATCGTG